GCCACTAGTGTGATCCTCAGTAGAGATTTGGTAAGTTGGAGCAGAAAGATTCTGAAGTATAGTCAACCCTGCAAACAGAGCCTCTCAAGAGCAAAACTGGAGGGCATTTCGGGGCGAAAAATGAATGCATGCATCCTCCACTTCTCGAGGCAGAGCTGAGGCAGTGTAGTTTAATTATTTTGCATGAATAGTTTATGTACACTTGTGTTGTAATTTAATTAATTAGTTGCTAATTAGTTGAGTGTTGTATTAATTAGTAGTTTGCTAGTTATTCATTTGATTTGTAATAATTAGTCTAACTAGTTTAATTAGATTAGTTAGCCTAGCTTAGCTTAGATTAGCTTAGCTCTTATTTATTCAGACCCTCCTTCGCGAGAGCACAATGTTTCAATAAGTGTACATGTGTGTGTGCATGTCTTCCAACCCCGCGTCTTTTTCCCTTTTACTTAACCACTTTCGATGGTTAGATTAGGGACATTTTCAATTAGCATACCTTATGCTCGCATGTTTGCATCCATTCATTTGTCTTGCCGAGGCTCGGCGCATTATTCAAACTGCATTGCAATTTCAATACACTTCTTTGAATACGTGTTTAAAAGCATGTTGTTCATGTTGCTTTGTATGCCATATTAGTATCCGAGCCTATCAATTACATTATTGCATGTGTTGCATTAGGCATCTTGTATAGTTAGGATCATGCATTTTTCTAACTAGTTTTTTGTTTTGACTTGGAGTACTCGGTGAGTTTTATGCTTTAGCATACTTGCATGAATGTGATTGCCATATTGCCATGATTAGCATGCTTGCCATGAGGCTATGTGCTTACTTGCTAAACTGCATGAATGCCTGCGGATGAAGGCTTTGTTGTTTGAATTGGAACAATTCAGTGAATGTGACTTTTAAGTCCACTTCATTGTGGCAAAATCATGTTTTAAGCCCACTATATTTGGTGGCAAATCCACGCTTTTTAAGCTCACTTGAGGGTGGCAACTTCAAACCATTTTCATAACAAACATGAATTGAACTGTTCTAATTCTTACGATTTTAGTCTATACTTGATTGTGTGCGTCACATAGTAAAGTTAGCTAATAACCGGAATAAGAACACATAATGTTTATAAAAGAACATATCATGATTAGTATAGGCCGATCTTTGATCGAGTGAGTGAGAGTACTCATTTCAGGACCTTCCCGTCTTGTACCCAAGTTCCCGAGCTGAGGCAACTTTGGTGATGACGGACACGTGACCTTTGGCACGAGTCAGGATTTCTTAAATTTTTCAAAAACAAAATATTTAGGTGGCGACTCTGTAATTTGGCAAAACAGTCCAGTTTTGGCATTATTTGATTCAAAATCTGATTTTTCAAAACGATTTGTCAGATTGGACTCTTTGGTGTTTATCAGTTTTACATTGCACTTGTAAAACTAGATTCAGAACCATAGGTAGAGTCCGAACCATAGGTAGAGTCCGAACTTTGAGGGCCTTTCTTTTCAAACCCTTTTTCCGAAAGGTGCGGGGGTATGAGAAAAAGGTGAGCCCACACTAAGCCAGAGCACTAACTTCTAATACCAACTCTCCCACCTTTATCTCAATCCCCTCTTCATGGCCCATCCTAATCCGGAGGCCCATCTCAATCCCTTCTCCATCTTCCAAAACAAACACAACATTAGTAAGTCCCACCTCCATCTGAATCCAATCCTTCCTCCATCTTCCAAAACAAACTTGGCCTTAGGCTCTTCTCCGAGTAATTGTCATTGATTATGTCACAAGGTCTACTTGATTTCATTTTTATTTTCTAAATTATTCTTAACCTCCGTTTGGTTTAGTTTTATAATCATAATTTAAATGTAGAGTTATATTTTGAAAAATAAGTTTTTGAAATGAGTTTTGAAAAGAGAAAACTTATTTGGTTAAGAGTTTTGAAAAGAGTTTCAAAAAAGATATTTGAGTTTTGAATTATATTTTGAAATTGTTTGGGTTTATTTTTTAAAAAATATTTAAAATTTTTCTTAATTTCAATTTTTTAGGATAAATATTTTTTATTTTAAATATTTTTTTTTCATATGCGTTGTATTTACTACATTTGTGCATTGTTAAATAATATTAACCGGAAAAAAAAAATATTTGTCATTAAATTCAATACAAGTATATATAAAATATCTAAAATATCATTTTCAATTCATTTTAATGATTAAAATATTATTTTTCTCCAGCTTTAAAAATACACATAAAAAAAATTTATTGTAAATATTTTTTTTTTTTCATATGCGTTGTATTTACTACATTTGTGCATTGTTAAATAATATTAACCGGAAAAAAAAAATATTTGTCATTAAATTCAATACAAGTATATATAAAATATCTAAAATATCATTTTTAATTCATTTTAATGATTAAAATATTATTTTTCTTCAGCTTTAAAAATACACAAATTACTTAGATTGAAAATAAATCAAAAGATTATGATTTAAATTAATAAAATTAAAAACTCGGCATTTTTTTAATTACAAATGTCAAGCCTTGTGTGTTTTTTTTTTTAATTTTTCCAAATAATTTTTACTTAAATTGCAAAAATTACTTTGGTTTTTTTTTTTTTTTTTTTTTTTGTTTTTTTTTTTTTTTTTTTGTGATTGTCCCTTTATTTTTATTTTTTTTAAATTTCATCAAATTCAATTTTGATGAATCATCTATTTGATGGGGAAAAAAAAAATTCCTTTCTTGATTTGATAAACATGTGATAAAAAAATTAAAATAAATTTTATTCATTTTTTCATCAAATTTAGATTTAGGCCTCGTTTGGGAACAGGTTAATTTAGTAACTTTTTGACTATTTGGCTAAAAAGGTAGGTAAAAAAAACTTGTATGTTTGGGATGACTTTTTGGCTAATTACGAAAAAATGTACAAAAAGCAGAGAGAAAAGAGAATCTTTGACTTTTTGGTATGGATTGTTGGCTTTTAGCTAATTTAGTAACTTTTTGGCTAATTGGCTAAAATAGCCTCTTGCCAAACGAGGCCTTAATTATCAAAAAAAAAAAAAAACCAAGGATGGAGATACTCCAACCACCAGCATCAAGAAAGCTTAATGTTCTTGTTGTCTTTTTCAGTCCTTGAATCCCTTATTATGTACTGATTAGCAATTAACCGTAATACATTTTTGGGATATTTATACACAAATCCTAATTTATAAATTTATACTTCATTAAATTCTAATTACAATTTTTTGAATCTTTAAGTCCCATTAAATTTTTAATAGTTGGAATCGCTCTTCAAACAATGATTGTTCATCATTTATGATTATCTATAAAGAAACATGATAATTTGACATTCATTTTGATTTTCAAAACTTCAAAACATCAACTTTCAAATTGAAAAAACTAAAAATTATGTTTTTTCAAAAAAAAAAAAATTGAATTATTTTTTTCTACAAAATTAAAAAATTTGTGTCTATAAAGGATCATGACGATAGAACATTGATGTGCAAAATTGACGACAAAAAAAAAAAAAAAAAACACAACAACAACAAGAAGTTTAAAAATGAAAAAACTAATAATATTTTCAGTTTTAAAACTGAAAAAAAAAATTGATAATATTCTCGGTTTTATTAGATAGTTGAATTAAACCAATAAGTAGAAGGGCAAAAACATTTAATCTCATGTTTTGTTTTTTTTTCATCAGTTAGTGAAATAATTATCTAGAATATTACTATGCAAAATTGATAATGTTCTTGGTTTTAAAAATTAGGAAAAACTGATAACATTCTCAATTTTACTAAATATGACTTATTAGTTCAAAAAATCTTAGATAGGATTTGAACTATCATAACACTTGTAAATAGAATTTTTAGGTAAGTAACTCTATATATGTATTTGTTTTGTTTTGTTTTGTATTAAGTTTTTGATCGAAAAATATGCAAAAATTGATTTCCTTATAGTAAATTTAGATCATGGAGCCAAAATTTGATATAAATTTACAAGATAGATGAGAAAATAAAAAATAAAAAATTTAATTGATAGTTTCTGGACTTCAATCTACTTGTTTTGTGATTTTGTTCAAAATCATATAAAGAAAATTCATATTAAATATACAATATTTTATCATTAAGATACACTTATCTCTTGTATATGTATTAATCTACTATAACCATATGATATGTCTTTTTGCAAATTACAGTGTTGATATCAATCATCCATAAATGACTTTCTTTGGCCTTTATCTAGATGAGCCGAAGGGGAAGAAAAAAAAAAATAATAATAATATAACCGATCAAAATAATTAAATTAAGTCTTGTATCTTAATCAGATCAAGTGGACAACATATACAAGTATGGATAAAACAAAAAGTTAATCCTTTAATTTTTTCAAGAAATTATAGGAACATGTACCTTTAGGCAATGTTTTAATCTTGGATTCATGGAATAAAAAGCTGAAAAACATAAAAGAAAAGGGCAGATGAAAAAAAAAAGAGAGAAGAGTTTGCACTTCATTTCCTTTTCTTCTCTTTTTCCTATTTTTTTCCCCTCCACAAATCCAAATTCCAAACACAAAAATTTCCAAATAAAATCACATTGGTTGTGTTCACTATACCAAACCAAACTAAGTCTTAAGTCCCATCACATTGGTTGTGTTCACTATCCCAAAAATAAATAAAAAAATTCCTTCATAAAGGCATTTAACTTTTGTGCGTGCATCTGTCTATGTTTACTGTCACAAATTTGAGAACTATTAAATTTTGATTGCATAAATCATAAAAATTAATAAATAAATAAAATGAAAAGGCACAAATTTTCATATATATTAAATTTTGATTACATGAACCATATAAAATAAAAAAATACAAAAAATTCACCTAGGTTTCACCATATAGTTTTATTGCCTCAACATATTCATAACAAAACTCGTACAAATAACATGAGAATTATTTGGGTAAAAAGTCACATAATGTGTGTATATATCTATATATTTATATCTTCATCTGCAAAATTGAAGCAAGCAATTCTCACACAAAAGACGATGGTTCATTGTCAATAAAGAAGAGGCCAGAAGGCCCATCATCAGGCAACAAAGCTAGCTTCACAGGACATTGAGCACCTTGTTTTGTAGTTAGTTTGCCGATGTGGTTGTTTATATCTGTTTTAACCCAACCGGGGCAAACACAATTTATGCGGAATGTGGGATACTTCTTGGCCAGAATTCTTGTGTACGCATTTATGGCAGCTTTTGACATTGTATATGCAGACGAAAAAGTAGGCCAACCTTTGGTTTCTAACGAATCTTGTTTGAAATCTTTTAGAAACTCATTCAGTACCTCTTCTACTCTCTCTTCTGTAAGGCTTTCAACATCATTCAACACTCCTTTAGCCCATTCACTAGGTATTAACTAAATCAAAAATTGAGAAAAACTAAGATCAGCTACAATTGGCAACAATAAATTTGAAAATATGAAAACAAAACCTCCACATCCATGAGAAAGGAAATGTATGGACCACACAATACAAATCTCCACTATGCTCAACTCCCTTTAATTTCATTAAGAGACCAGTATTTGCAAACAAGAGAGAATGAAAAATTTTCATAGATCCCATATATTCTCAATTTTTGCATAGAGCCCAAAACTGAAGTGTGGCAAGTCAAATTATTTGGGGGATTTCTTTTGCTACTAAATTGAACATTCCTAACAACAAACTACAAGGAACACATTTTTAAAAGTTATATGGAAGTTCAAAATGCTTTTTCTAGTGGTGACAATTATATTATAACTTTGAAAGAAACAATATATATATATATATGGTTTCAAAAGATGTTTTCTCAAGCGGGTTCAACTGACACCACTAATCATTGAGTGGCGTCATCCATGTGTCTTGACTAGACAGAACCGCCCTAACCTAACAACAATACAACATTGATAATTACTTTTGGTAAGAGAGTTAAATTTTTGCTTTCAGATCAACAACTGAATTTTAATCCAAAATTGAAAGCTAGTAAGGCTGTCTGTGTAAGTTTTTTTTAATTAGAGTGCAAATTTTGTACTTATGAAAGAGGTTATGGTTACTTCTATACCTCTAGCTTCCCCCCCATGGAGGAGACATTTACAATCCTTGGTGAATCAGAGAGCTGGAGGAGGGGATTGAGTGCTTCAATCATCCTTTTTGTGCCGTAGTAGTTTGTTTGCAAGCATTCATTACCCAACTCGTAGCTTTGAGTCATTACTTTTTTCCATGAGCTTCGAACTTCTTCCTGCATTAATGAGATCATTCAATTATAATCCTTGTGGTTTTTGTTACCTATTACCTAAAAACATAATTCCAACCCTGCTTTAATTTTTAGGTTTACTACCAAAGCATGAAATTAGAAGCCAATTGAGGTGATTTTGACTGAGTTTATAAAGTAAACTCTGAGCACTCCCCACTCTCTTCAACCACTTTTTACTTTCTCCTGAAATATAATGATTGATTTTTTCAAAACAACATGAAAGAATTATTGAAAAGGAGTATGATGACTTTTGGGATCTTTTGATCACGTAAATTATGCACATGAATCATCTTAGAGGTTCTCACACATGAGGCAACACAAAGTTTCTCTAACACGGATTGTAGGAAAACCTTGTCCAAATATATATATATATATATATATTAATAAAAAGTGCACTTTTGCTCTCTTGCTTTTCTATGTGGAATCATTCAATATTAATAGTGATTTGCAAAAAAATTTAAATATCAGGTATAGATCACAACTTTTTTATGAAAAAATCATGCAACTTGAAAAATAGCATATCAGTGGCCATTAGATGTATGCATCAATGCAATCACACCAATTTGAACTTACTTGAGGGAAAATGAAATGAATCATGCATAAAGACTCACCATACTACCCTCTGATGACTGCGAAGAATCCCAATCTATCTTGGCTCCACGAATCCCAGCATTGTTCACCTACAAGAATTCGAGCTTTTTCATTATTTACTTCATTAAAAATCACTGAAACATTCAAGGAAACAAGAAACAAGTAATAGATCTTTCTAGAAATTTTGATTGAAGGCCTTACCTCTTTGTATATATATATATGGCTCTCATTAATAAGTAAATGCATAGTTCACTTCATAAACACAACTAACTTTCTTGTTGAATAACATAACCATACTGCTTCCATTCAATCAAGACAACCAAATATGTATTGCCAAAGTTTATCAGAATAGGAATTCTATTTATAAAAATTTACAATTGAGTCAAGCTTATTGCTGTTGACTGAGACTGCACAAAAACTAATGACAATTATAAATTAAATGAACAAAAATAGAAAATTTGAGAATTGGGCTGTGAATCATACCAAGATATCAAGCCTTCCAAATTTGGACTTGATAAAATCAGCAAGGGAAGCAACACTAGATGGGTCCACAACATCAAGTCGACAGAACACCACATGATCAGAGAGGCCATCACTTTTGAGTTTCTCAAGGGCTTCAAAACCCTTCTTCTCATCTCTGGCAGTCAACACCACTATGATTCCCTTAGAAGCTAACTGCCTACATATCTCAAACCCTATTCCTTTATTTGACCCTGTTACCACTGCATACCTACACAGAGACAATATAACACAAACAGTTGGTGGGTGTGAAAGTTGACGCTAGAATAAGAGTGACTGAAAGAGAATTCAAATGCTACAAAAGAAGCAAAAATACACCTCTTTGTTGTAGTGATTGCCTCTGCCATTGCTGACAAGATGGGATGTGCCTGAGGAATGTTAGCTTTAGCTCACCTCTCAAACTTTGGTTCTTTTATTGATAAACCAAGATAGTTTTGCGAAATACCTTATTTATAGTGTATGTATATGCTAAGTTAGGGTTTAAATTAGTGTTTGTTATAAATTTTTGTGGTGTTTCCATTATGTGGCGGTATATACGTAAGTTATGGTTTAAATTATTCGTTCTTCTACTTATACGGAAATTGGATATAACTCATTTGTATAGGTGTGAGATTCACAAAAAAAAGTTTTTGGTCTTGCCTGATTGGCCGGCCGGCTAAGTACGAAATGTCTCATGTGAAAAGATTATATTCATGTGGAATTAGTTTATTTGTTCCTAATCTTCTTCTTAAATTAATGTTGATTGTGAATTTTTGTGATGTTCTTTGAATATACTTCGTTATGGTGGTAGAATCAATAAATTATCAAATCAAAATCAGTATATCTTATTATTATGTTTGATTATATATAAGGTGATAACGTTTATTACGGTCAATTAATTATTCTTAAAATGAGTTTTAGTGATGTTCTTTGAATATACTTCGTTATGGTGGTAGAATCAATAAATTATCAAATCAAAATTAGTATATCTTATTATTATGTTTGATTATGCATAAGGTGATAACGTTTATTACGGTCAATTAATTATTCTTAAAATGATTTTCAATTACACTAATAGTTTTTTTTTTTTGGTTTTTATGGGACAAGTTGTATTAGTTACCACATAATATAACAATCAATAATTCTAATATTTTTATTTTCAGATTTAACAATTAAAAGTAATGATGCCTATAATATTATACAATTTTTTGAGAATATGTAACTATTTAAAGATTCTCTGTTATCAATTATTTTTATTTCTGTCTCAAAATACTTAAAATAATTAAATAATTAAAATTTTTGAATGTCTTCAAACAGAGGAGCAAAAAGATTTAAAGACAGAAATTTTTTAATTTATTATTTGGTTAGTTTGAGCTAATTCACAAGTTTGGGAGAATTTTTGTTTCAATTGGTAATTACCATTGGGATTGGACTGTTCTCAATCTGTAATTGGATTGGACTGTTCAATCCGGCCAGTGGACTCATTTTTTGGTTTCGTTTTAGCAAATTAAACCGGTTTATATTTTAGAATTCATCGAATACATTATTCTTGTAAAAAATCAAATCGATTGAATAACAAAAAACACGTGTTGGATCAACTTTGTATGAACTATTTATCTTCTCACCGTTTATTTTTTTCATACAAAATTGATTCAAATACATAATTGTCGTTATGCCATCAACTTAATTTTTTATAAAGAATGATCTACTCAACAAATTTTAAAATATTAACTATTTAAATTATCAACACATAATCTAAAAATGAATCCTCAAGGCCTAACAATACCTCTTTAGTATGATGGAATAGCCATTAATATTAATTTCATTTATTATGAAAAGTGGCTTGTTGAGGTATTCAAATCCGTACAAGGAGAAAATAATCGTCATCGCTTAATTTTTTTAATTTTATCCTTAAACTATTAATTTTATATATTTAGTCCAATTAAAAATAATATATCCAAATTAGTAATTGTTGAAACCTAAATGAACAAAAAATTATTTATATAATTTGAACAATCTAAATCATACAATCAAATACCCCATCTTATTATTCACATTATATTACAACCACACACAAATCTTCTTCATTCTTTATTTTGAATTAATGATTAAAAAAAATTATTGTTTAGTTTTATATATTAAATTATTCAAATTTTGAAATAACCTCTTTACCTATCAAATTAAAGTTTAATGATTGTTGACTTAGACATTCATTTTCAATTAGAACATATTATCTTGAATTAAAAATGTTGAAGACTAAATAAATAAAATTAATAAAAAATGATGAAATGGACAAAATGGCGTTACTTTGGGAATAAAAATGAAATAAACACATTCATTATATTACAACCACACACAAATCTTCTTCATTCTTTATTTTGAATTAATGATTAAAAAAAATTATTGTTTAGTTTTATATATTAAATTATTCAAATTTTGAAATAACCTCTTTACCTATCAAATTAAAGTTTAATGATTGTTGACTTAGACATTCATTTCCAATTAGAACATATTATCTTGAATTAAAAATGTTGAAGACTAAATAAATAAAATTAATAAAAAATGATGAAATGGACAAAATGACGTTACTTTGGGAATAAAAATGAAATTAACACATTATTTTTTATAAAGTAAAGGAGAATGTTTTTTTTTTTTTAAAGAAATAGTAATTTCAATTGTGTAGTATTTGGTGCAGTAATGTTAAAATAGCATGTATAGCATAAAATACTCACTTCGGTGGTACAATAGATGTTGTGCTAAATGGTACAGAATGTATCAAGCCACTACATTATGCTATACATTTTAATCAATTAATAATTTAATAAAATTGCATCTGTACCATAATAATTAGAATTTAATTTATAACTTTTTTTTAGTCAATTTTTTTAAATACACTTAATCTACACACTTAAAAAATAAAATATTTGTAGATAAATTTAAAACAAAAAAATAAATGACATCAAAATACAAAAATATACTAAATTTATATTATATATATATTTTATATAGTCAATTTTCATATTTTTTAAAAGTGACGAAACCGAAATAATGAAAATATAGGGGTATTAATATTAAGTGTAATTAACTATTTTGTTTGAAACGCAAATTGAGAACTTTTAGAAACTCAAAATGAAAAACACTATAGAGAACCCAAAATTTCCTTTAAAAGGGAAATTTAGCTATAAACCCCTTTTACCTTCCTTTCATTGTTAAAAGAATTAAGAAAAAAATTATACTTTCTAAATTCCCTCATAATTATAAAATCTTACATAAAGGACACAATTTATTATTTAAATATTTTATCAGACTATTATACCCCTCAACTAGATCTTTCCACCTTTTTCGTCTTCTCTCTCTGTCTCTCTCTCAGTTTTCGCACAACCGTTGCAGATACTGTCTTCCATGAAACCCTAAATTTTCGATTTCACAACTCTGCTCAGAAACCACAAATGAATAGCTATTGAATCGTCTCTATAATCTTCAGGTACAATCGATTCAATACCTATCTGGTTATGTTAAATTCACAAATCATTCGAATCTCTTCACATTTCGCGATTTTTGTTGATGTTTCTACATAAATTTATCGACTCTCATCTTTAATTTTGTTGAAATTGAATGAGGATGTCGTTGGAGATTCGAAAGCTAGGGTTTCGGAGCAGATAGGGGAGATTCAGAGTGCGGTGGAGATGGCTCAATTGGAAGCGGAGAAGAAACATGATGAGGTTGTTGATGAGATGCTGACGATGTTGAATGCGAAGGCTGAAGCTTCGAGATTGAAAGAAGTTGAACATGAGGTTAGGAAGGATGTGGATGAGGAACAGTAGAATATATGTATATATATACATATATATATTTGTGTGTATGAGTGTTGTTGAACACATGTATTCTTTTCATTCAGATTTGTGATTGTTGATCGAGTTTTAGAAGTTTTTCTTCTCAATTTGATATGTTGATTTGTTGATTAATTTGTTTTGTTTTTGTTTGTTTGTTTGTTTTTTATTTATTTTTGTTGTTTTTTATCTAATTTCATTTGACAGAACCAGAGTAAAATTTTACTTTTATACAGAGTAAAAATTTACTTTTGTGTAGAGTCTAATATTTTACTAGTTTTTCAGAGTAAAATTTTATTTTTATACAGAGTAAAATTTTACTTTTAGTTTCAGAGTGTAACATTTTACTCTTATTCAGAGTAAAATTTTACTTTCATACAGAGTAAAATTTTACTCTGAAATATATAGTGAAGATGACTTAATAGGAGAGCTGATAGATATGAGGATGATATAGTAAAAGAAACAAATTTTAAAATATTAAAAAATTTTAAAAGTACTTATATAATTCTTTTCCTTTTAAAAAACAAATTAAATAATAAAGGAACTACCACCAAATCTCCTAATTTAAAATCAAGGTTAAAAGTTCACTGATGGTATCTCATAATAACAACTTGAATCCTACACCATTAATTTCTGTGATATTTTTTT